TGTGTAGTCGCAGGGTTCATTCAGAGAGTAAAGCAGAGCCCTGTCCACAGCAGACAGCAGCTTCCTTCAACATGGTGGATGTGGGAGACATGGTGGGAGGGAGACAGATAAATATCCTGCCAGAGTCACAGGTCCATTTAAACAATGACATCACGCAAGCACAAGTGCACCAAGGCAAAATGGAGACCACACACAGTGTCTTAGCAACATCTCTTGAGAGAACACAGCACTGAGTCTCAGCCCTTTCTCTGTAGGCCTCCAACATCGACGACGTCCTTGGCCACCACACGAGCTTCCTGGACAACTGCCTGAAGGACTGCATGTTGACCAACCCTGAGCTGCTGAAGGTCTTCTCCAAGCTCATGTCTGTGTGCGTCATGTTCACCAACTGCATGCAGGTGAGGGTGGGCGCAGACAGGTGAAGCCCTGTGAGCAGGTGCAGGCATCCAGGCTGTCTGCATGCAACCCTGCCCCACATCTTCTACCTTTGCAGACCTCCTAGGTCTTCATGGCCAGTGTGTTCTTCCTGAACATGGGGCTTTCTTGAGGCCCTGCAGTGGTGGTGTGGGCAGGGACCTCCCAGTGTTGCCTCAGTCCTCCCATTCTATCCCTGGTACTGGCTTCTGTCATGGGCTTCTTTTGAAAAAGGATTGTGAGTATTACCAAGAAAAGAAGAAGAAAAAAAAAAACGGAAAAGGATTGTGCAGAAAATGAGTGTCAGAGGGGCAGCCTGGGGTTGAGTAGCGCACTATGCAGGCAGCACCTCAGGGAAGTGGGAGGTGCAGGTGGTGGTTGAGACAGATGCTGTGAACCCCATTCCTTATGTGCTTCATAGTCATGTGGAGTTACCAAATAGAGAAACACTGTAAAAACCATTTTTAAGAAACTCAGTTGACGATCACTGTGAAAAGTAGACCTGGAAACTCTGTGGGTGAGGGCATAGCTAATGTCCTCTTATTGTGGCTTCCCAGAGATGCTTTTCTGTCCCTGTGTCTGTGGGGTCAGCACCATGCCCGTACTGCTAGGAGCACCTATAGAGCACTATGGTTGTAACTAATAGAAGCCTGTCCTCATGACCTTGTCCTAGAAATTTACACAAAGCATGAAACTGGAAAGTGAGCTGAGCCGGCTGGCGCTGGAGCAAGGCTCTGTGCTGGGGTCATCCACGGAGTCTCAGCGGGCCGAGGAGTATCCCCGAAAGGAGTCCAGCAGGAAGGTGTGTGGCCCTGGGGTTCATCCAGAAAGAACCTTTCCTGTTTCCACACCTGTGATGGGGGAGCCACATGTCCTGTAGGGCTGAGAAGCAGGGGCTATCAAAGAGCATACAACTAGAAGTGTGTGTGCTCCTGACCCCAGGATCAGTAGAGGACATGGTTCTTTCCCTTTGCTGAGTAATGGCCAGGAGAAAATGGCATTAGATAAATAATTCAACCTGAAGAGAAAACCCACAGTGCGGCACTGTTGAGGTCTCAATCCTGAGAGTCTGCAGAAGCCTGGGTATAGTGAGTGCCAGTTGCCTGAGGTGTTTCTCCATGTACTATGGTCTCAGAATTTTTATGACACCCCATCTTCTCACCTTTTACCACATGAAAATGTCCTGGAACTCATTTTTGTGATTTACAAACAAACAAAGGAAAAGGAAGTAAACCCTGTGGGCTCAGCAAAGGCCAAGTTATCTGCCCTGGCTGGCACTGCTCACTGCTCTCAGCTTTGTTTCTAGCATCTGACTGAGCATGTGGACACTCCTCAACTGGCCTCCGGCTTCGAGGCCACCATCAATAACTTTGACAAGAACTTTTCTGCCCACCTGCTTGACCTGCTGGCCCGACTGAGTGTCTACAGCACCAGTGACTGTGAGCATGGAATGGCCAGTGTCATCTCCAGGTGAGTGTCACCTCTTCCACCCGAGGCCCAGGCCCATCCATCTCCTTTCACTGTGACCATTGTTTCCTGCAGTCCTCAGCAGTCAGGTGCTCTGCCCTAGCCAAGAGCAGTGGAGGGAAGAGGGGCTGTGTGGGGCTGCTTGGGCAAGGCAGTAGTTGCTGCTCTTTGCTCTTCATTGGGACAGGGTGAGGAAAGGGGCCTCGATTTCAGCCAGGAAGGGTGCTGACCACACTGCCTTTGGCAAGGTGCTTGCTTGTGCCTTGGGACCACCTAGTGCCTTGTGCCTGGGGCACCCTCAGGCCCCCATTGCCAGGTGATACTGGTGTGATGGGAGCCCCAGCATCCAGGGGCTGGCAAAGAAGTCAGCAGCTGTGCCCTCCTGGAGGTGGGTCTGCTAAAGTACTCATTAAAGTGCTGCTTTTAGTTCTCACATCCCAGTCTCAATATTGCATGGGTTAGGGATCCCCGAGTGAGCTGAGACCTGTGTGCACATAAGTACTGGCAGGTGGAGGATGCACCCCCTCTCCCCCACCCTCCACCTGGAAGAAGCCTTGAGTCATCTCTGTCACTGATTCTTACCTGTATGGGAGAAGTGGGGCTATTGCACAGACTCCCCATGCGGGTGTGCCTACACTTGTGCATCTCATCAGCCTGGGACTGTGCCCTTCCCTCTTCTGGAAGACCTCCACTCCTCTTTCCCTCCCCAACAGGCTGGACTTCAACGGCTTCTACGCAGAGCGCCTGGAACGCCTGTCTGCAGAGAGGAGTCAGAAAGCTGTCCCCCAAGTGCCCATCCTGCGTGGGCCCCCAGCACCAGCACCCAGGGTGGCTGTCACTGCACAGTGAGCCCTGGCCACAGTGTAGAGAAAGGGTTAATTGCTTGCCTGCCAGTGCTGTGGTACAAATGAGCTCAGAATTTTAAAATCAAATGTTCCTGGAACATGTGTGCTGTGTATTATTGCTATTTAAATATGGCCTGAGTTACCATCTTGGCTCAGTGTGTTTGCTTTCTCAAGGTGCGAGTTTTCATTTTAGAAGCTGCCCAGACCAAGGTGAGGTTTCCTTGTTTGTATTTAAAATACAACTGTCAGCCAGGTGTAGTGGCTCACATCTGTAATCCTAGCTACTTAGGAGGCGGAGATAGAATCACAGTTTGAGCCCAGCCTGAGCAAATAGTCTGTGAGATCCCGTCTCTAAAATAAGCAGCAAAAATGGACTGGAGGTGTGGCTCAAGTGGTAGAACACCTGCTTTGCAAGTGAGAACCACTGAATTCAAACCCCAGTCCTACCAAAAAATAAAATACAACTATCACCATTTTTTTTTTCCTGACCTCATGTAAAGCCAAAATGAAAGCACTGCATTGGACAAGAAGCAAGACAATTCCAAGATGCTGTGACGTCAGTCAACATGCAGCCTGGGATTAGGGTTGGGCTCCAGGGAGGCCTCTGTGCTGCCTGCGCGTCAGGCACTAGAGGGCAGCATGGGTTCTGGCTGTGGAGACCTAGCACCAGGGGGACAGACTGCTCAGCTCTCCTTTCACCTGGAGATTCACCCACTGAAGAGTGGCCTCTGGGATAGGCTTCACTGGGAGCTGGGAGCTCCAACTCCTGTCTCATCAGGGCCAAACTTCTTGGGCTTCCTCTGAATATCAGGAGCTGGCCTTGCCCTCTGGAAATTACTCAGGTCTGCTGACAAGTTGTGCAGTGCCTGCCTTGTCCAGCTCCGTGGCTGTCTACACCAGTCCTAGGGTGGGCAATACAGCTAGCCCTAGTGTGACAATACCCTGCCAGGATGTCCTGCTCTGGTCATGTTTCCAACTAAGCTGCCCCTTCCTACTGAATTTCAAAAAAAAAGTTCTAAAGTGGATTTCAAAATCCAGTGTGTCTTTTTGAAAATCTAGTTCTAAACCTCTGCCCCAGGTGGGCTCAGGCAATGAGGAAGGGCTTGGGAGGAGTAATAACCAGAGGTAAGCCCTGGGGGCTATCCTACAAGATGAGATTCAAGGTGAGTGGCTCAGCCACAGTGCCTGGTGAAGGGGCACAGCAGGGCACCTGGGGTGCTTGCTGCTTTGGCCACAAACTGCTACTTCTGATCCACACATGTTTGGTCTTGACTGAGTCAACATTGCCAGGTACCACAGGAAAGATTTCAGACTGAACAGAGAAGCTCACTGGCCTGTAGCCAACGTCCTAGAAACTGTCCACAGCCTTCCTGCAGCCCTTCCAGGTGGTCACTATGTCTGGGGGGGGGTGGAAGGGGGCGAACCTGCAGTATCTACCATCTCCCCAGCCCTCCCACAGCACCTGCTAGTGGAGCTGGCTAGGAGTCTGTCTTGTGGCTTCCTTTGGAGGAGGTGGATTTTGTCATGTGCCAGCTCACAGTGGCCCTACTTTGTCCTGGCTTTGGAGTATAAAACCCTGTTAGTTGAACTTCACCTGTATTGTCCTTGCTGTGAGTGGTTTGGCTAACTCAAGCAATAGTGCATACTGGCAGCAGCTTTGGGTTTTGTCTAATGTGATTCACATGATGTGTTGCCTTGAACTGCCAGTGGCACCTTACCACATAGGAGCAAGGAAGAGAAGTAAAACTGCCAGAAGTGATCTAAAGTCCTGTGCGGGCAGAAGCCCCCCTTGCTGCTCAACTTGGCCTGGGATGTCCAGCACTGGGCACCCTGGGGCAGCATGTCACCTCTGTGAGACACCCAAACATTTGGGCTACCATTGCTATGTTTCTGACTTTGTGCCATCCATGTCGGGGCAGTAGTGTGATAGTATTTCTGTGCTCCAGCTTAGCCCTTTCTGCCTAGTCCCCAGTATAAAATCCAGGGCCCCAGCCCAGCCCTACCCGTCTCCCTCTCTAGCTCATCAGAGAGAGGCCAAGCTGCCAAGCCCTACTGAGGGGTCAGTGGCACCCCTTCCCCCTTACTTTGCTCCTGGTGGGGGCGGATCTGGGGAGGCTGTGCGGTTGGCCCACACCTGGACCCAGGAGGCTGAACCGCAGTGTGTGGGGTGTTACCTCAAAGAGCAAATAGGCTTGGCCAAGGTCCCAAGAGTCCTGGGTTCCCCGGGGAACAGATCCACCTGGAGAAGGTGAGAGCCAGACCACAGTGGGGGTGCTGCAAACTCTGGTTCTTGGGCAGCCCCACTCTAAGAAGGGTGTTAAGGGCAGGAGCCAGGGCTGTACCCTGAACACCCATAGGGACCCCTACAGCAAGGCTGGGTCAAGCCTTAAAGGAGCAGCCAAAGCAGCCTGCATGCCTGCCATCACCTGTCTGGGTCCTCCCCACCTTCCTCTCCCCGTGAGGCCTTAGAGCCTGGTGGTGGAGGGAGTACCACCTCCCACAAGGTGGGTCATATACCCACACTGCCACTTCTTGTCTCTGACGAGACTTTGTTCCCCGGGAAGTGAAGGGGGAGGGAGATTCCCACCTCTTGAAACCTGGCAGGCAGTTTCTTACAAGTCACTTCCTCTCCAAGAGTCACCTCCGTGCAGCTGGACCCACCCAAGGAGCCTCCAGAGCTCTGGCAACTCCTCCAACTCCTCCAGCCCCGTCAGTTCAGTCCACAATTAAGGGGGGAGCCAGAAAAAAAAAAGAACCCTCAGGGATACAGGGAAGCTACGTGGGAGGGGACACGGTCCCACAGGATGCTCTGGAGCTATGGGCGCCAGGGGGCAATGGGAGGGGCGCCCCGCTCCAGGTGACAGCGGCCCGCCCCGGGGCCGTGCGATTGGCCCGCTCTGATCTCTGGGCGGGGCGCGAGTAAAGAAATCCCCGCCGGACACCCCGGGACCCCAGCTTCCCGCGGAGTCCTCCTGGGCAGGACCTGGCCTTACCCGAGCTGCCACCATGCGTGGCCTCAGGTTCTGGCTGCTCTGCGCTCTGTGGCCACAGGGTGAGTGGTGCGCGGCCGATTTCAGAGCCTCCTCCGGGGTGCGGGGCGGGGTGGCCCTCCAAGTGGCCTGCGTGCCCGCCGGGTGACCTAGCCTCCCTTGGGCTGATCTGGGAGGATGGGTGCATGGGTGGTCACTCAGCTGAGAGGCCTGGGTGCCATAGAGGCTAGAGGGAGGAACCTTGAAAAGTGAAGTGGAAGAGAAGTTGGCTCCTGGGGCGTTTCCCTGGCTGCTTGTCTGGGAAGGACCCCGGGCACCCAGCAGGGGTGGAGACCACCAGGCAGCTCCCCTGGCTGCGGGAGGAGCCCCAGCTTGAGGGCTCTCCTGTGGGGCCATGTGGGCTTGTCCACTGCGACAGGACACTACAGACCTGCAAGGAAGGAGCTCAGAGTTGCGGGGTGGGGGGGGGTCTCCCTAGCCAAATAAAGACCTGTCTCCCACTGGGTGGGGCCTGGTGGACTGCTGCTCCAGAGGCCAGGGCTGGAACTTCTCACTCCTGGAGGTTTGGGAAATGATGATCGAGGAGACAAACCCTCTCATGTAGGTGGTCTCCAAAACTGGACCTGCCCTCTGGTCTATTGTTGGAACCAGGGAGATTTTGGTTCTGGAAGGGAAAAGCCTGGGGGTTATGCTGCCTGGTTCACCAATTAGATGTGCTTTCCTGAGCAGAAAAGGTGAAAAGGTGTCAACGATAAGTGCCGGGCAGCCAGACCTTCCCCCAGGTCCTGTGCATCCTCCCTGAGATGGGTCCAGGTGGGCTCCTGGACGCTGGGTGTGTGGGGTTCAGTCGGCTCTCCCCCTGGTGCAGGTCCTATGCTGTTTTAGGCACAGAGCCCTTACCTGGGCCCTGGGGCCAGATCTTCCAGTTTCTGGGTGATTTCCCCTAGAGGAGGGGCAGGCCCACACTGGGCCTGACAGCTGCCCAGGGCAGGATGGTCCCTGCTGTGTCTGTTGACCCCCTCTCTCCCACAGCAATCACCCTTGGTTCCTCTTTGCCCCATGTGGAGCAGTACGATGTAGTGTGGCCCCAGAGGCTGCCTGGACCTCGTGCCCGCCGAGCCCTGCCCTCCCAGTGGGTAAGTCTCTGCTGTCCATCCACCTGGCTGGCCACTCAAAGCCTGTTTGTGTAGAAGGGTTGAGTGGGGCATCCAGGGCTGTCCTCCACAACTCCAGGGCTTGAGGACCGACCCTGAGGGGTCATAATCCCCTTTGGCCTATCTGTGCTTGCAGGCTTGATCACAGTCCAGCCCTCCTACTCACTTTCTTCCTTTCTCCTACCCCACCTTGTGGCAGAGCCTGAGGCATTCAGGGTGGCCACTGGGAATCTCTGTGCCTTACCTTCAGGAGCTCTTCCAGCCCAGCCTGGAGGGGCCACTGGCCTCAGGAAAAGGACAGGCATTATGTGGCCCAGGCCACTCCCCAGTTTCACTTGGCAGGGGCTAATCAGCCAAATTCCTCTTGAGTAGCGGGTTGGCTCACCACAGGTCTATGCGTGTGTGTGTGCCGTGACACAACTTCCTGGGCCTCTAGGTTGACCTGGGATTCCCCAGGTCTAGGAGCTAGAACGGCCCCGTGGGCTGTGGGGAAGACTCCTGGCCCTGTCCTTTTTCAGTGTCCGGGAACCTGCCATCTGCTACGTGGGGCTCTTGCCCCAGCCGGGGGCATGCACACACTGTCATGTAGACTTGAGCTCTTGTGTGTGGGCTGGAGGGCATGTATCAGAGCAGGGTCACAGGGTGACCTCAGGTACCACCCCGCAACCACCAGGGATGGGCACCAGGCTACCTTAGGATAGGTGGCACTGAAGGGGCCTGTGTGCCCCACCACTACCTCCCACCTCCTCTGCTGCCTTGGCTTTAGGGGCTGCCTGGCCGGGGCTGCCACTCCCACCCTGCTTCCTCTGGGAAAAGGTGTCATCCCCGTTACTTTTATGGACACATGGAGAAACTGGGGCCTGGAGGGCTGAGGAGTCCCATGTCTTTCTGGCCTACTATCCATCCAGAACAGCCCGGGCTGATCCCAGCCACCTTCTGTTCAGCCTGAGGCTGACAGGACCCAATGGTCCCCTGGGGACTCTGCTGCCTGAAGCCCTGAAGCTTAAAGCTGGAAGCCACTCACTCACTCTGAACCCCTCACTCCCTAATCCAGGAATTGTACCCGGAAAGCGTGAGCTATGTCCTTGGGACTGGAGGACAAACCTTCACCCTGCACCTGCGGAAAAATAGGTAAGCAGGGTCTGGCCTTCAGGTTGGTCCCAGGCTGAGCAGGTGGTACAAGCTCCTGCATCCTGGGAGCCTCCTGATATGGGAGGCTCAGGGTGAGATGAGGCCAGTGAGCTCCAGTGTTCTCTTCCAGGGATCTGCTGGGCTCTGGCTACACAGAGACCTACTCTGTTGCCAATGGCTCCGAGGTGACAGAGAAGCTTCATGGACAGGTATGGAACCAAACTGCCCTCCCTAGGCTGGCGGAGTCATGGCAAGCAGACTTGTGACCCCTCTCTTGCTCCTTCTGCAGGACCACTGCCTCTACCAGGGCCATGTGGAAGGGCACCAGGGCTCGGCAGCTAGCCTCAGCATCTGTGCTGGCCTCAGGTGCGTGTTGCAGACCTGGGCAGTTTAACTGCTCTACAGAAGGGTAAACTGAGGCAAAGAATAGAAGAGAATGGAGCCTTTCCTGCACTTGTGTGTTCAGAAGGCCCTGTTAGGAGTTACAGCCCAGCAAGTCTGTAGAAAGGACAGCTACATGCCCTCCTACCTCTTGTGTCCATGGTCCTGGGTGTGTGTGTGTGGTGGGGGTGGGGGAATGGGACTGTGAGCACCAGACTAGAGCCTCCTGACCTCACAGATGGGCAGGTGAGGATGGACTGTTGATACCTACTGTTCACCTGGTTCCCTTCTCAGGGGCTTCTTCCAGGTGGGCTCTGCTGTCCACTTGATTGAGCCTCTGGATGGGGGCAGTGAGGAAGGGAAGCACGCAGTATACCAGGCCAAGCATCTGAAGCAGAAGGCTGGGACCTGTGGCGTCAGCAACACCAGCCTGGACAACCTCCTGGGCACTCGGGTCTTGGCAGCCTTCAGACCTCAGCCCCGGGTGAGCAGCTTCACCCCTTGCCTGGTCAGTCCTTCACAGGCCCCTTCCTCGGGCCTGGACATCACTGTGTGCAGCCCTGAGCTGACCCCATACAAGGTGTGGAGGCAGCATTTTTCTACCCTGAACTGCCTGGACAGTGACTCCCAACACTAATCCAAAACTGGGCTCTGGGGTGAGTTGTGACCAGCAAGGCTGACTGGCTTCTTCCCCAGCACTGGCCGCAATCCCAAGAGACCCGCTATGTGGAGCTGTATGTAGTCACAGACAGCAGAGAGGTGAGGGGTCCGGGGTCCAGGGGGGCTGGTAGGCTGGAATAAGGTTGCTGGACCCAGCCTGAAGGTCTTGTGTCCCCAGTTCCAGCAGTTCAGGACCAGAGAGGCTGTGCGCAAGCGGGTGCTGGAGGTGGTGAACCATGTGGATAAGGTGAGGTTATGTCCACCTGCAGGGGTCCCCTCTAGGGCTGTAGGGGTCCTCCCCGTCAGGGCTTCCAGGTCCCCCAGCAGGGGCTTTATTTGGAGCTTGAAAGGCCCAGGTGTGCAAGCACCTGGAGAGAAGGTATGCAGCTAAGTGGGGTGGGTGGAGCAAGACGGTCAGCCAGGAGAGGGGCTGATGAGGGCTCCATGCTGAACTCAGGTCCCGGCCAGTGCCCATGTCCTGTGCCCCCAGCAGAAGATACGATGTGGTGCCCTTGCCCACCACCCAACCCTGGCTGACCTTCCACAGTGTGGCTTGACCCTGGGGTTCTCGTCCTCTGCAGCTGTATCAGAAACTGAATTTCCGTGTAGTTCTGGTGGGCCTGGAGATCTGGAGCAGGGACAAGTTCCACGTCAGCCCTTATGCCAATGTCACACTGGAGAACTTCCTGTCATGGCGGGAGCGGGACCTGCTTAGCCGACACCCCCATGACAACGTGCAGTTCATCACGTGAGTGGTCAGCCAGCTGCGCCCACCTCAGCTGGGCAAGCAAGCTTTGGCCACCCAACCTCTATGTAGCCGGGCCTCCAGGACAGAGTCACGCAGGGACGAGAAGGGGCAGGTAGCCCCTTCTCCAGGGCAGTCATGTCATGTTTGATTCCAGGGGGCTGGACTTCTTCGGGACCACCGTGGGACTAGCCAGGGTGTCTGCGATGTGCTCCCGGGACTCGGGGGCTGTGAACCAGGTGAAGGGAGGCCCCACTGAGATTTGCCACAGCTTGACGGTGGCTGGGCAGAGTCTGAGTTGGGCATGTAGGGGGCATCAACCCAGGTCCCCAGCACACACTGGAGAAGCCACCTCCTCTGAGGACCAATTTGATGTCTGCTTTTGTACGTTGAAGGTGTTGTAGGCAGGAAGCTCCTGAGGGCTGATGGTGAGGGCGGAGGGCCTGGGGGAACAGTTGAGAGGCAGCACAGCGAGCACACCTGTCCCCACAGGACCATAGCCAGAACCCCATTGGCGTGGCATCCACTATGGCCCACGAGCTGGGCCACAACCTGGGCATGAACCACGATGAGAATGTCCCTGGCTGCTACTGCCCTGTGTCGTCAATGAGCGGCGGCTGCATCATGGCGGGCAGCCTCAGGTGAGGTGTCTGGGGCGGGGCAGGTGGGAAGAGAGGTGGCAAGTGGCTCTTCCCTGACAGTGACACCCCTGCCCTCAGCTCCGTATTTCCCAGGATATTCAGCAGGTGCAGCCAGAGTGACCTGCAGTCCTTCATGGAGAAGCCGCACACCACCTGCGTGGCCAACGCCCCAGACCCCGACCGGCTGGTGGGCGGCCCTGTGTGCGGGAACCTGTTTGTGGAGCGTGGGGAGGAGTGTGACTGCGGTGCCCCTGAGGTGTGTCCTGCTCGTCCCCCGCATCCCCTGCTCCATCAGCGTCCGTGTGGGGGCCATGCCCTCTGTCCTTGTGTTTAGGCTGGCCTCCCAGGCTCGGTGTCCTGTACGCTCACAGTGTATGCATGGCCCTCAGGGCTTACAAGTCACCCCTGTCATCCTTTGATCTTCCAACAATCCCTAATGGAGTCAGAGGAAGAGAGAGAGAGTAGCCACGGGCTCTCCCAGGCATCAGTGGTGGCTGGTTTTCCTGGAGCAGACGACTCCGCCCAGGGTGCAGCTGTTCAAATTGTTGTCCCCCACCAGGACTGTCAGAACCCCTGCTGCAATGCCACTACCTGCCGGCTGGTCAAGGGGGCTAAGTGTGCCCATGGAGCCTGCTGCCACAAGTGCAAGGTGAGCTGAACCCTGTCTTGGACCCCAGCCACGCCCAGGGCAGCAGGAAAGGACGCCGGTGCCCGTAAAGGCATCACATGGGCCTGTTCCATGGTGAGCTTCTCTGTGGGACCAGGTGAAACCGGCAGGTGAGCTGTGCCGCCCCCAGAGAGACGAATGCGACCTGGAGGAGTCCTGTGATGGCCAGCATTCAGCATGCCCCGAGGATGCCTTCCGGGAGAATGGCACTCCCTGCCTTGGGGGCTACTGCTTTAATGGGAGCTGCCCCAGGATGACCCAGAGGTGTCAAGAACTGTGGGGGCCAGGTGAGATGGGTGTGAATGCAAGAAATGGGATCAGCTCTGGGGTGGCCATAACCTCAGCCAGGCTAACCTCTGCTGGCCCCACAGGTGCCCGGGTTGCAGATGACACCTGCTTCACCTACAGCATCCCTCCAGGCTGCAATGGCAGGATCCTCCCCAGCGTGGGCGGGTGAGCATCAAGGCAGGACTGCTAGGTGTTGGACACAGGATGTTCCCATTGGTTGGGCCAGCCCAAGGGGTCCTCCCCACAGAGGAGTCCTGCTCTGTGAGGCAGGTGGCTCTCTGGGACTCTACCCTGCCTTCCAGACCCCAACATGAGCACATCGTCATCATGGGAAAGAAGGCAGGCAGGTCCTGAGTCTGTCTCCTGCAGCGCCCTCGCCCTGAGCACATGCCCAGCACAGCTTCAAATGTGGCCTGTCCTCTGTCCACAGGGCCAACAGATGTGGTGTCCTATACTGTACAGGGGGGCAGAAGCCCCTAGAGCGTGGCTCCTGCACCTTCCCTTCCTACCAGGGCACCTGCCAAGCTCTCCTCATGGACAGCAGCACTGAAACATATGAGCAAGTGCTTGAGGGCACCAAGTGTGAGGAGGGGAAGGTGAGCTGGGCAGTACCCAAAGATGGCTAGGGCTGCAGAAGCCCAAGTGTGCCCCCACATGGGTCCCCACCACACAGCCCTCCACAGACCATTTCCAAACTCAAGTGTCAGCTGGCAGGTGCCTGTGGGCAGGGTCCTCTACAGCTTTAGGCGGTCCCATATAGCAGTTTGGAGACCACCCTCCCCAAAGCATGCCCAGGGCCCCTAAGTTCAGTCAGCCCAGCACCTCCCTCATGGCTGAGGCCTGCCTCAGATGGCTGAGGTGGGTCACCCTGTTCACGGCACCATGCTAGACCCCAGATGGCTGAGGCAGGTCATGCTGTATGTAGTTACTTGGCTTTCTCTCAAGCTTACCCTTTGGGTTTTGAGGACTGCAGGGTGGGCTGGAGGTCCAGACCAGCTGCCCAGAAGACACCCTTACCCCCGCCCGCCCTGGTCCTCCAGGTTTGCCATAAAGGGCGCTGCCAGGATGTCCATGTCCTCAGATCCAAGAACTGCTCTGCCCAGTGCCACAACCATGGGGTAGGTGATGGCCTTGAGGGATGGCGTGACCCTTGCTTGGTGCCTCAGACCCAAGGCTGCTGCCATTGCCTGCGTGTCTGATGGAGCTGGTGGCAGAGGCACTCTGGGTGCAAGGGTAGAGGCATAGACCAGCCCATGGGTCCTGTCAGTGAGGGTTTCATCAGGACCTCTCTGGGGCTAACATGGGACGGGTGCCCTCTGCACATGAAGCCTGTGGCCACTGGACAGTGTGGTCAATGGGGAGAGCCCCTGATAATGGCACACATGGGCAGGGCACAGGGCCCTTTTGGGCTGGGCTGGCCTAGGACTCTGGTGCTGCTGCCTGGTCCACTGCCTTGCAGGCTGCCCATCCCTGAGACCTGGCTGTCCCTCCAGGTGTGCAACCACAAGGGGGACTGTCACTGTGATGCAGGTTGGGCCCCACCCTACTGTGCAGAGCTGCTGGCAGATGTGCACACAGGTAGGGCCCTGGGAACCAGGAGAGGTGGTGTTCAGGGGATGGTTTCCAGCCCCAAGCACCTGACCTGAGGATGGCCAGGAGGGAACCCAGATCCCCACCTCGTAGAGGGGACTGAGAGCAGGGCCCTGCTCAAAGCAAGGCTGGCCATCCTCAGGTGAGGTCGTCTAGCCTTTCTTTGGCCCAGGAATTCTAGGCCACTGCCCCCACAGTGTTTTCCTCTCCAGTGGCCACTCAGCGTGTGGCTGTCCACAGCACTACAGCCTTGGCACTGTAGGCCTGGGGAGCCCCCCCACCACGTCTTCTGATTCATTGCCAAAGAGCCAGGAACACTGGTGTAATGTACCGGGCCGTCTGCCAGGGTCCTCCGACCTTTGGCTATTTGTGGGTGTGGGGCAGGAGCCCTCGGGGTCCAGTACATGGCCAAGGTTATGTCTCCTGAGGGTCCTCCCACCCCTGGCCTGGCTGGTGTCCAGCCCCGGCTGACATGAGGCCGTGTGTCCCATAGCATCTGGGAGCCTCCCGGTCAGCGTGCTGGTAGCCCTGGTGCTCCTGGCAGCTGTGATGGTCATCTTGGCAGGTGTCATCATCCACCGCAAGCCTTGGAGCAGTGTCCAAAGGAGGTGAGAACATGCTGGTTGTGACATGTCTGCGTGTGAGACAAGCACTTCCTACTCTCAGCACTGTTGGGAAATGGTCTCCACTGTTGTTTGAGGAAGAAAAAACCACTGCTTTAGGCAGAAGTCCCAGATGGGGGTACTCGGGACTCTCCAGGCATTAGGCAGACCTAGGCTAGAAGCCCAGGAGATTCCCAGGATTCACTAGGCTCAGAAGTCTACTCAGCCCTTCCTCTCACAGGCACCATAATGAGACAGTGTGGGTGACAGGTTGGGGTATGGTAAACACAGAGAGGTCAGACTGAACTCCCCCACCCCCCAGCCTGGGCCATGTCTACCCCACTAGGCACCCACTGTGCCCTGGGCCAGGACTTTGGTTCCCAAGCCAGCTACAGCAGGGCAGGCTTACCCAGGGCCTCTTAGTGCCTCCCCAGCTGTTGCTGGGATCCCCAGGACACATCGTCACTACCTAGTAGGAACCTGCACATTGATCTGAGCCTGCACACCTTGCAGCCTGTGCGGGTCCTCCAGAGCAGAAACCCCAGCCAGACTTGACGTGGAGGGGGGACCCCCATGCCCCCCTTGTCCCTGGCCAAGACCCTAACTACACTATTGCCTATCTTTCTCCTCAGGAATGTGGCACCCAAGACTATGGGGCTCTCCAACCCTCTGTTCTATGAGAGGGGCAGCGGTATGCCAGTCAAGGGCAAGATCCCAGGCACCCCAGAGCTGACCTCGACCACCAGCAACAGCCAGCCCCCCAAATCCACCGTGACCCCGAAGAGGCCTCCTCCTGCCGTAAGTGCTGTTCTCTGATAGGTTCATGGGGCTGAAACAAGGGGACACCCAGACCCCCCCATACCTTCTGTCCTAGGATGTGACCCAGTGGGGATGATAAAGCCCTTTTGTGTAAATTACGTCATATGCCCTGCAGTGGCCTGAGGTAGTGTGAAGGCTATGATCACTCAGTGGAGAAGTGGGGGACTGATCTGCATTTGGATCTGCATTTGGAATTTGAACTTGAACTTGTGGCTCTGGGGGTTCTCAGCCTTGGGTTCTGAAAGGAGGACACCACTGCTGTTCCCTAGCTCTGGGATTGGGAAGAATGGGCCATGCACCCAAGCTCGAGCAGTGTCAGTATGGGGGGCTGCAGCATCACTCCCTATCACATCCAGAAGGCTTCATTTCCCCCTTCCATGTGGGTCCTGGAGCTGGGGGACTTGGTGGCTGTGGGGTGGGGCTCAGCCTTGCTCTGTAGGTCCAGACTCACAGTCCTGTCCTTCAGCCTCCAGCTGCCATATCCAGTGTGCCTCTTCCAGTTCCTATCTACACCCAGCAGGTACCTGATCAGGTGAGCCCTGGTGGGGCAGTCAGGCATTCTGGAGCCATCAAAGCATCCTTGGAGGCAGGGGCCGGGTGGGGGGGCTCCTGTGAGCCCAGACCAGGGAAGTGACCACTGCACAGGGAAGGCGGGTCAGCCAGGCTCTCCTGGATCTTAAACAGAAGAACCTAACCACAGATGCAGTGAGCCTGGGAGAAAGAAGGTACAGTCCTGACCTTCAGCCTCGGGCAGGCTGGTCAGTGGGTCCTGACTCCTCTTCCTTCCCCACCAGGTCAGACCTGCTCCGCCCACCAAGCCCCTCCCAAAGCTGAAGCCCAAGCAGGTAAGAGGACGCAGCAGTAAGGATACCCTCCCCTCCTGCTGTCTGCTGTCCAGTTGCCCTAGGGACCGGCCAGCCCCGCAAACCAGCCAGCCCTTGGGAGGCAACTTTGGGAGTTCTCTCAAAGTGCAACTCACTGGAGCCACAAGCAAGTCAAGTCTGGGTTAATTTTCCCATGCCTCCTCCTTGCTCCCAGCATGGACTCTAACCTGGAGCCCTTCTCCCAGCCCCAGTCTCTCACTCCTTGGAGCCTGTGGGACACACCTGCCCACCTAAGAATTACTAGTTGTCTCCCTGGCAGGCCACTGTCCACCTCTGTGGTGGATCACAGGGGGCTTGTGGTGGGCAAGTGGGGGCTGGAAAAGGCCCTAGAGTGGTGGGCTCAGGAAGATCCCCAGGGGCAGCTTGAGTGGAGCTTGAAGGGTGAGTGCCTGTTCTCTTGCTCTGACCTTTTAGTTTTGAGCAAATTATAGATTCACAGAGAAGTTACAGAAATAGTGCAGAGTCCCTGCATCCCCTTCATCCAGCCTCCTCCATGTCCAGATGTGCAACCTTAGTTGCATCTGCCCGTTAGTTAACAAGCTGGCATGTCGGACCTTGCCCACTTCTCCTGGCCTGGCCTGCAAGGCTCTCGGTCCTGGGTTGCACTTTGGAAGTGCTGGTTCACAGTTTTGTTAAGTGCCCCTCAATTTGAGTTTGTTGACTTTGAGTGGATGGAGGCAATGCTTTTTTTTTTTTTTTTTTTCCTTTGGCAGGAATAGTGTGGAAAGCCCTGGGGAGGAAAAAATGCAGCCCTGGGGCTTGGGGACTGGGGACCTTGTGTCTTATGCGAGGGTTGTGACACATGGCTTAGTGGTGGCATCTGGTGAGCTAGCTTTGTGGTGAATGAATGAATTGTCTAAAGGAGGTATTTGGAGACTCTCACAGTCGTACCTCTCTTTAAACTTTGACACACTATGTTAGCATCCTCGGGTGAATTTGGTCCCCAACAATTTTAACTGTGGTGTTTGCTCAGTAGGATTTTTCAATTTCTCTTTGTCCTTTTTTACTTTTTATTTTGAACTAACTTTAGACTTACGTGAGTTGCAGAACTCATCCTATGAGGGGTCTTGACAGGCAGAATGAGGGGCGGTGAAGTAGGCAGAGAGATTTCTGGGTGAGAATGAGGAGAAGCCAGGCAAGGAGAAAGGCTGGGTTAGAGTCTGCAGCTGAACTGTGCCTCGCTAGAGGCAGAGAGGAGCCGGGCCCACCCAGTATCCCTGCGAGAAGCATGTGCCACCTGGACAGGCACATGTTTTAGTGGTTAATTAATTCTCAGCTGTTGAACTTGCAGAGAAGACCCACATGCTAACAATTTAGGAGCCTTTCAGGGTAATGGGGGGGTGCGGTTGAGACTGTGAGATGGTTTGGACAGCCGGCCCAGGACTGGGGGGCTTTGTCCTTCCTGCAGGTAGCCATGGAGAGTTTCTTGCAGAGCTGAACTAAGGCAGAAGCCTGCAGCTGGGGGCAGGGTGTGGAGGTGTCCTCCATCAGCTGTGTCTGCTTCCTTCCAGGTCAAGCCAACCTCCGCACCCCCAATGCCACCAGTCAAGCCCAGGGTTGGAGGGGCCGTGCCTGGATTGACTCAGGTGAGCCCCCTAGGGTGGGTCCACCCCTGCTGGCTGACTGTGGGGGGGGTCTTTAAATTACCGCTTGGTAAACTTCGGTGATTATCTAAAAACGGAGAACTTGTCAGCTAGAGATTTATTTTGATGTATGCTTTATAATCTGTCAGAGGACTTCTTTTGCTGCTTCCACTGGCTATCAGTTTTGCCTTTTCCTGTCCTCTGTATGAAGTGTTAGCTATTAACATGACAGCCATCATCTACCATCACTGTGCGGTCAGTGAACACTGACCGCACACCTGCTACATTGCACCCTTTGCAGCAGGTGGTTTTTAATGTCCGTTCTCTTTTCTTCCTCCAGGTGGTTGATGGCCCAAAGGCTGCCCTGAAGCCCCCTGTGCAGAGGAGGTGACCGGCCACCTCCTGGAGCCCCGCGGGGCATCTGCGAGCCTGTGGAGGTTTGGAGAAGCGGGGCTCCCGTGAACTGTCCCTAGCGGCCAGTGCCTCTCAGCTCAGGGCTGGGGCTGGTCCCTCAGCCGCTGTTCTGACCTCGGAATGAATCCGCCTGAGAGCCGTTGTCCGGCGGGGCCGGTGGCCGCAGGTGGCCACAGTCCCTCTCCCGGCCTCGGCCAGCTTAGCCCGGCGTCCGCAGCGGCGAGGCCGGGAACCGCACCCGAGGACAGGCGGCCTGACACGAGTGTCCGCGAGGGGACTGGCCTGTCCACACCCGACTCCGAGCCCGTGACTCGGGGAGGAAGAGCTCAGGACTCCGCGTCACTTCGGGGACGGGGGCAGAATGGCTACCGGCCTTGAAACTTGGGGCGCACACTCAGGTTGAAAACTATTTCTCAATAAAGAGTTTGTATTTTGCCAGTGATCTGTCCACCAAGTTAAAGGGCGGGGACACCGCACGGAGCTAAACTACTGCCCACCGCCCCCTCATTGAACAGCGCACCGAAGTGCGCGGAAGGGCGGGACCGACCCCAGGACGCGCGCCGTCCCCGCCCCGTCTCCCAGCCCCGCCCCTCCCAGACACGTCCTGCCCCGCCCCTTCCGGTCCCGTCTCCCAGCAACGGACCCACGCCTTCCGTCATGCCGGGTGCAGCCAGGCCGAGCCCCGCCGTCCTCTTGCCGCCGCCACCCGGCGCCCTCCGCTGCCTCTGCTCCTGGCTGGACCGGCTGCCACTCAGCCGCCCCAAGCGCCACCTGGCCCGGGACTTCAGCGACGGCGGTGCGGGCCGGACGCTGCCGGCGAGGAGGGCGGCGACCAGGGCTTGGAGGAGGGGGGCTGCCCCAGCCTTCCGCCCGCGTCCCCTAGGGGGGAGGGGTGGGGGCCACCCTTGCGTGCAGCCCTGAGCCTCTGGGGATGGGATGGGGAGTCAGCTCGAGCCTCCCGAGCAGGAGGGAAGGGAGCTGCCCGAGTCCAGCTCTGAGCCTCTGGGGGCGGGGGATCACCCCTGCGTGCAGCCTTGTGCTCCCTGCAGGAGCTCTTGTGGCCCTCTTAGCTCTTGGTCCCTCTTGAGATCCGTACATGCGTTCCCAGGGGTTCCTGTACCTCTTTCACGTGCACCTGGTGGCCGGGACAATAGCAGCATCTGATAGTACTAGCCAGGCAGTCCTGGCTCACCCTGTGCCCCCACAGTGCTAGTGGCTGAGATTGTGAAGCACTTCCACCCACGGCTGGTGGACCTACACAATTACATCCCTGCCTGCAGCACGGATCAGAAGCTAAGCAACTGGAGCCTTCTCAACAGGCAAGGGCTGGAGCGCCGCAGCCAGCTCTCTGAGGCTGGCACTGCCGGCAGCTCTCTCACAGCCCTCTGGGACAAGTTTCCCGCTGTGGGGCCCTTTCCCTCTAGTGCAGTTGCTGGCCACAGAGCCTAACCCTCAACCCAGTGTTCCTGGGGTCTCCCTGCCAGGACAGCCCGTCAACATGGGCCTGCTCCCCCAAAGGTTAATGGAGTTAGGCTCTGCTCCATATCACTGACTACCAGTAGAGAGGTCCCTGCCTTCAGTGGAGCCTAGAGCCTGTGGTTAACACATTAATCACAAAAATCACCAGAGTGTCAGGTGTGATAAGTGAACAACCAGCCAAGGGGTGGGAGAACCAGGGAGGGCCCTGAGGAGGTGACCATAGAGCAGTGGGGTGGGGGAGGCCAACCTGTGAGCACCTAGGGCTGCAGGATGGAGCTGTAGAATCCTTAGGGCCGTCTCAGGGGCCCTGGAGACCACACTGAGGACTAGACTTCCAGCCTGGATGGGGTTAGGGGCACAGCAGTGCCGAGACCCAGATACGGTGTTAGGAGACATGCATTTCAGAGGTGAGAAGGGCGAGGAGACCAGGAAGAGGTGAGGACAGCTGCCCTGACCCAGGGTTGAGAGGGCTTGGCTATGACTAGGTGTTGGCCCTGGTGATAAGGAGAGGTCAGATTCCAGGTACTGTGCAGATGGGTCAGCAGAACTTAACAGAGTAAAGGACAGCTGTCAAGAAGATGAGGACTACCAAGGAGAGTCCTTGAGATACCTTGCTTTATAGCATGAGGTGCTGAGAATCATGTGATCAATCCCCTGATGAGACGGCCACTGGGACAGGCATGAGGTGGTTACTGGGCCCCTGAGGGTGCAGGGCAAGAATGGGCCCTAGTCAGCTTCTCCCTCCAAGGAAAGTCAGGCACTTTCCTGTGGCCTAGTGCCTGGCCGTTGGGGGGCACTGCTCTGAGTGTGAGCCTCCACTGCCTTTGCAGGAAGGTCTTTCACAAGCTGCAGTTCTGTATCGCAGAAGCGGACATCCACAAAGTGGTGGCCAATGTGCCTGGGGCCATCGAGCCCATCCTATGTGCACTGAAGGAGAAGGTGGAGGCCAGAACTGTTCATGCAGACTCACACGGCATAGACGTATGTTCTGTGCAAATCTGTACAGGCTGCAAACCTGCTGCATCTGTTCCCATTGGCACTCGGTCAGATAATCTGTGAGAAAATGAAACAGAAATGAATGACGAGGAAGTCCCTGCTCCTGTGGTCCTGTGGCCCAGACTATAGCTAAGTCCACACATGAGACTGCATCCCCAGCTGTCCTGCTGGCCAGGGACTCTCCAGGCCCTCACACCCCTTCCCAGGCTGACCCACCTGCCTTGGAGCAGTGGAGACACTTTTATGATTGCTCCCTTTGAGACTGCAGCCCCACATGACCTGCCCAAGCCCTGCCCCCTCTCCTCTAGTTTGCTCACTGCCCCCCATCCCAAACGGGGACAAGGAACCACAGGCAGGTATTTTCACCCTGCCATGTCTCACTTCCAGGATCCAGGACTCTCCAGTGTGGATGCTGCCCGACCTTGGAGAGGACTCACCACCCAGACACATGCCAGTAAGACACAGACCTCTGATGTAGGCAAGGTCAGCCTGTCAGACCCTCCCTGGGCCTCCTGCAAGGGGCATCACTACATTCGCACAGACTTGGGCCCATGGTCTTCTGGCTCACACACCTGCAAAGGAGAATAGGTGTAGTCAGGTGCCTGACGCAGGGCCCAGTGGGCCAGCCTGCCTCTAAGGTGGGCAGCCTCGCTCTAGGCACTGAAGACGGTACCCTGGCTCCATCAATGCCTGGACAGAAACCCCCTGGGGGGGAGCCCATGGGCCATGTGCTGGCAGGAGTGGGGGAGTGGAGAGCGGTATCAGATTGGAATCAAGATCCTGCATGGTGATACCTGAGTCCACTCGACCTCTGTAGGCCGAGCCCCCAACCAATCCACCTCTCAGAGGCAGAGGTCTGGAGCTGATGGTGTCTCTTTGTCACGCAGGCCTGCAGAGCCCCCCAGCTCCCTCCAGCCTGAAGACCCTTCAGAATCAGAAGACAGGCTGCTGTGGAGGGTGGGCTCCCTCTCTCACTCTCCCCGTCCAACCTCTTCCCTCCCCATGGTCCCCTTCCTGAATTAAAGGCCAATGTCTGCCTTTCAGTCAGGACTCAGTAGAAGGGCCCTGGGAGCAGTTGGCCAGAGTCCAGCAGCAACTGGAGGACAAGGAGCAAGCCCTGGCCATTCTTCAGGAGACAGTCAAGGTATGGCCTACCTGGGTGCCTGGACACGCTGAGCTGCAGGATGGGGACGTAGAAGGACCTGCTACCTTCATTTTCACCATCCCCAATCCAATCCTTGGCTGAGTTTCTGCAGAGCTGGCTCCAACCCAGTGTAGGGTTGGCAGTGGGTGGGGTACACAGGGTTCTGACCAGGAGTATTCCAATAATACCCAGAAGCAGAAAAGAATAAGGTATAACCCCCACTATGTACTCATCACCAGCCTCACTGGCTTGTTCACCCTGGAGCCCATGTCCTGGGGCTGCAAACAAGGCACAGGCACCACCAGGAATGTGGGCCAGGACCCAGGTCGGAGAGCAGAAGGTGCTTTTTGCTGGGAAGCAGATGGGGTGGGGTGTAGCCTGGAGAGTTTCCTGCCTGTTCCCCCAGTCTGTACCCAGCCTCTTCCTTCTCCTCATCTTCACCAGCTGGGGGCCTCAGCCGGAGAGCCAGGGCCCCAGAAGCACCACTCACCCTGGGGATGCTTGTGAGCACTTAGATATGCAGTGCACACATGGCTCTCTGATGAACACCTGGTTCTGCAGTGCACACCTGGTTCTGGGATACACATCTAATTCTGATATACAGCTGGTTCGGGAGTACACATCTGAATCTCTGACATATACCAGGTTCTGGGGTGCACACCTGGCTCTCTGATATACACTGGTTTTTCAGTGCACACCTGGTTCTCTGAGTACATACTTGGTTCTGTGAGTGCACACTTGGTTCATGGGTATACACATGGGTCTCTGATGTGCACCTGGTTCTGTGGCGTACACTTGATTCTGCAGGCGCACCTGTCCTGCTCTTTCATTGGGGACCTCAAGCGTTCCTGTGTGCAGGAAACCCCTTGATGCTTGTTCCCCCCACACCTTGGCAGCATTGGACCCAAGATGTTAGGGGGGTGGACAGGCTGTGTCAGCCTCGGGGTCTCGGGATCACAGAGGTTGCAGGAAATTGCAATGACATGCAGTTCCTGAGTGGGTACTGAATCTTCAGTTGTTTTCTTGAGAAAACAGGAAAGTGACATAACTGTGGCTTTTGATTTGCAGAAGGGCAATGCAGAGGAAGCAGTAAGCAGAACTGGAGCTGCTGCCTCTGTGGGTCATTTGCTGCCCCTGCTGTTCCCACTTTGGCTCTGGTCCACATGCTGTCTGAGTGAATCATAACTCTTTCTGAGACCTAGAGGGGAAACAGCTCAACTTGCCATTTAAGGGATGATCCAGTTGAGTGTTGTTTGCATAACCGTTGTGTACCTTGAGGTTGAAGAGACACCAGGTGGAGCCGTAGGGGATTACTGAGGGATGGCTGGCCCACATGGGGTGGGAGCAATCACTGCATAGGGCCTGCTCAGCCAACCAGACTCAGCAGCGCTGCCCTTTGAGTTTGTCATTGAGCAAGTGGCACCCGGAGGGTATCCAGGATATGAGCTATGTTGACCGAAGGTGGATGCAGTGATACTACCTGCGGGCTCAGGAAGGAGCCTTTGGGCTACTGTGAGACCGGCTCCACCCCAAACCCCTCATGCCCCTGTCCACACCCTTGGTCTTTGTTCTCCACCACTCTGCTGACCTTAGCATGGACACAGGGTTGGAGCAGACCAGGTTTTCCTAATCCTGAGAGGCGTGATGGGGGTCTGTGCTCCAGTGAGGGAAGGCTGGGGATGAGGCCATTCTTGAAGCAGGCATGGAGGGGCCAGAGGCACCCTAGCCAAACCCTCCTGTGGCTGCTGTACCTGAGACAGCATGGTCAGGGAGGTTTGGCCAGCTCTTTCTGTAGCTTCATTCTTCATTCAAGTTTTCTTAGGTCACCAGCTTTTGGAAGAAATCATTGATGTCCGAGTGCCTTTTGTCATTAGTCAGCCACTGATTGAGCACATGTGCCCTGAGTACCTGCCAGGTCCTGGGCAGTGAGCTCACAGGCATGTGGGATTCAGTCCCTGACCTGCCCCACATGTAACTGGTGTAATGGGAACAGACTGGCAGGCTGCAGGAGGCACAGAAAGAGGACCCCTCCTCCACCATGGCCGCTGACCCTTCGGGTCCCTTAGGCTCATTTCCTGTGGGACCTTCCCCATGGGACCTGCTGTCCATCTCTCCCAGTGTTTCTAGGAGAGGACCTTTGGCCTTGCCTCCAGCCATGTGGCCTTACAGAGGAACTGGCTGGACACTCATCCCCAGAGGAGGAAACTTCCCGGGTAGCCTGACTCTGGCAGACAGATGGGACTTCTCTGGATACGCCTATGTTCAAACTTGTGTGGTTTTGAAGATTTTACAGATGAAGGTGGTGAGGCTGGAGCACCTGGTAAAACTGAAGGACCTGCGGATTGGGGAGCTGATGAGACCTGGGGCTAATGGGCACCAGATCCCTGGAGCTGCCCGTCCCAAGTCAGCCAAACCCTGAGCCCAGCTGGAGCCTCCTGCTGCCAAGAGCTGCTTCTGTGTGGCCCTGCACTGTCTGGAAAGCTCAGAGTGAGACATCTTTGAACAGGGACAGGTGTGGACACAGGGTTGGACACAGATGTGGGTCTTGTTTCCTCAAGCCCTGATGTTTTATCATCATTGCATTTGAGAACTCTGATGTCCTGGTGTGTGCAGTGTCTAGGCCTTGGAGTAGCATTCAAGGGGGAGAGAGACTGTCGTGGTCAGCCATGTGGCCTGGTGACAGCCATACTGAAGTGTGCAGGAAATTATGGTGACAGGACCCTTGGGAAGCTGCACCCATTGGGCCTTCCTACTGAAGGGGGATGTGAAGGTGGAGGAAGGCACTGAGAAAGCAGGCTGTACCTACCTCACCATCCTCTGAGGTGGTCTGGTCACTTGCTTTGCCCTGGAGACTTTGGGGGGGCTAAGTAGAGCTGGAACCTTGGCCCAGCTGCCTCTACAGGCCTCATCCTTCCCCAGCCCCAAGACCTGGCTGCTGCCTTCTAACCTCCAGGATGGCCCCTGGGGTTCTTGAGCATTGGTGTAGCCAAGATACTGCTGAGGTTGGAGGAAGCAGGGTAGGGCTGCATCCTGCTGGCCTCTGCACAGCTACCTTGTTCCTGTACCCACAGTGAGGATGGACTGGGCTCCCTCCCTCCACTGCCTTATCACCATTCTGTGGGGTCAGCCCTTCTTTCTCTTGAACCAAGTCCAGCCCCATGCAGGGTGTCAGGAAGTAGTGGTCAGAAGCAAGACTTGGATCAGGGTTTCAGAGCTGCCCAGGCAGCCATTTCCTCCCTGAGTCAGAGGCACTCCCAGCCCCTACCCACCCTACCCTGAGTCACTTTGCTGACGGCTTCTGATGACCAGCTCTCAGCTCTAGTCAGCTGTCTGGGGCAGCCTGGTGCTCAGAGCCTTGTTCAGGGCTGGAGTGGGAATGCCTCTAAGAGAGCAGCCCCCAGCCAAGGTGAGCTGCACATGACACCCATTGGTCCTTAGCATCAGAGCAGAGAAATCTTTCCTAAATCACTGCAAAGACCCCTGAAATGGGCGCTTCTGTAGCACAGTGCCAGATACACAGCCATCCTTGTAGCTGATGGGGGAGGGGCAGGAAATACTTGGGGACGGCCTGACCAAGAGGCTGAATTCACACAGGCCCAAACAGCTGCCTGCCCCAGGCCACGTCTGGGACTGTAGTGGCCCCGGCCTCTTCTGGTTCCCTCGGGCAGTGACAGCACAGGCCAGCTGTCTGCTCCAGGTACACGTGCATGGGCACATCATGCACAAACACGCGTGCATATGACCCAAGCAAGAGTGCACACAGCTGAGGGCTGCTCAGCTCCACGTTGAGGTAGGAGGACAGGGTCCTGGCTACATTAAGTCTGGCCGTAAACAGAGGCCATTCGTGCATAGGTGTGACCTTGTGTGTAGCACTCACTGTATGCGCGTGTGTGGTGCTGTGTGACACCGGGAGCATGTAATACTGTGCAATGCACTGCATAGGAGTGCAGCTGTAACATGCCGTGTGACACGGTATGTACACGTGGTGTATGTGTGTGCAGCCCCGCGTGCTGGCCAGTGGGAGTACGAGACAGGCCAGGAGGCCAGGGTACTCTGGCTTCTGTGCTGGGATGATGTGCAGGGTGTCCTGACCTGGTCCAATACCAGGTCCAATACAAGTCTATAGGACTTGGTCCTATAGACTGGGCCTGCACCAGCTGCTGGACTTTGTGGTGGAGACAGAGATGTAGTTCAGAAAACAGAAAACAAGACCCAGCAGGTCATGCTCCCCGCTGGAGCATGTGCCTTGCCATGGACGCAGACAGGAGCAGTGGCACAGGAGGCCTCGGGTACCTGGATTCTGTCCTGGTGGGGAAGGGTGTGCCTGGGGTGCCACCTAGAGGAGGTGGCTGGGGCTGCAAGTGCAGGAGTGGCGGGAGGGACTGCAGAGCTAGGGAGTCCTGGGGCCTTTACAAAGCTGTGGACAAATGAACCACAGGGGCCCTGTGGGTTCCCCTGGCCAATTTTCCTGCACTTTGGGACAAACTCACTGCAAAGCCCAGCACAGAGGATCCTGGGTTCCTCTCTGGGGAGGGCAGACCCCAACACAGCACCTCCAATGCTTCTATAGAGCCCTTTTCTTCCATGCTGGCCGCTAGCCATGCCTCCTGCCCAGCCCCAGGGCCTCTTTCCTTGGGGACCGAGCCCTTCTGGCACCAAGACTGGCTTATCCTGGGGTCTTGGAGCCAGTGCTTCATGGGCCCCAGAGAGGTTTGCTGCCTGGGGGTTTCTGGGTCCAGATTAAGGGGTCCCCACCTTTCATGCCCAGGCCAGAGCATGGAAGACCTCTGGCAACTTGGCAAAGGGTAGTACAATGGCAGGTGATTGCTGGGGGGTCAACCTACAGCCTGGTCTCCATTGGGATACCCATTGCAGCTACAGTTCAGAGAAACTAGGGAGGCACAAGGAAGCATTTGGAGCTTCAACCACCAGGAATTGGCAGGTGTCACTTCCTATTTGGTGGAAATGCCGCCTGTGAATTTAGGATACAATTAGAAGCCAGGTGGCACAAAGCAGAGCACAGAGCCATGGGACAGGGCCGGGTGATCTGGCAAGAAGGAACATGTCACCATGCTGCCTCCCATTGCCTTCTCAGCCCCTACACACCCAAGGGTCCACCTTCCAGACGGTTTCCATCCCCTACCGCTTTTGCTGTTTTTTGTAATTCATTTTATACAGTTATTCTTGCTCCGAATTGCAAGTAATATGGAATATAGCAAAATGAATTAAGTGCTCATGAAAAGTAGTTCACTGTGACAGAGCACCTCATCCTATGCCTGGAGGTACAGGCAATGTGGGCTAGGGGAAATGAGTCTCAGCTCAGAAATCCCAGTTCCTTTTTCCCTAGCTGACCAACATGCTTTTCCTACAGAACGAAGGCAGACTCTTCCCATGGGCTCTGGACGAACTCCAGACTTCCCAACCCCAGGACCAGGCCTGTGAGAACAGATCACCTTAGGTTAGTTAGAAATGAGAAGGAAAGGTGCCTGCCCTACCCTAAAAGGCAGCCTTTCTTGTGTATTATGTGTTTCATAATCACTTAAACATTTTAGGAAGACCTTATGAAGGAGGTCACTGGCCCAGCTAACTCCATCTTGTCCCTGGCTGGCCCTATTTTTGCCTCTTTAACTTTCTTCTCCTGAGTTACTCTTCTCCTGCGGTTACTGTGGATTCCAGTAAAGACAGGACTGACCGATACACATCTTTATGACAAGGGACTGAAACTACCCCCAAGCAACAGAGAGCCTCATGGCACAGATCACCCCCCCAACCAAATGAGGGCAATTGCCCATGGTGGTGAGGCTGTAACCCAGAGCTGGGGCCATCACCTCATGGGAACAATTGCTTCCCTCAAAGTGGTGACAGAGGTAACAACTTCTCCAGAACCCCTTTCAGAACCAGAACTGAGATAATGATCAGTCAGACCACTGGCCTGACCAAGATCACTGTTCTGTCAGCTGTGTATATCCCAAAACCCAACCCTCTATTTCTCTTTTTTATATAATTTCAAGTTCCTGTCAGCCCTGGGAAGGCAGACTGGGGTCCCTGAGCCCTTTTATCTGTTCTTCCCAATGTGACCGTGATGACTGCATCTCCTTTCTCTGCCCTTCAGCACTATTTGTCTCTTTGGTATACTAGGACAAGTTGCTAAGTCTAGTCTGTTGGGACTCCTGAAACCGGGGCTTTGCCCTAAAATTCTGGTAACAAACCTCAGTGAACCAGGCAAGTAAAAGTACCCCATTTGGGCATTTGCCACTCACAGCAAGTTGACCAGGAAAAAGGTGAATGCCCCCCACAGCTGCTGAAATGTTTTTCCAGGACTTTTATCTTTCCATTGTGTGTGTGTGTGTGTGTGAGAGAGAGAGAGAGATGAAGCAAAGTAAGAGCCCTGGCAAGTCCTTTTCCAATAGTGCATGCTGAAATTTGCTCTTCTTCTCATAATTTGAGCTCTTTGTACAATTCTGGGATTTCACCATTTGTGTTTAGACAGGGAAATTTGAAATTCCGCGTTGACCAAATTGTAAGAAGGTATGCAAAGTTTGGGAACCAGAGTGTTTGAGAGAGCTCCACTGTAATTTTTGTAAACATAGGAAATAGTTACTATCAGGAATCCCCTGGGATGAATTCTAGATGACTGATCTAATTACAGCTATAAACCTATTTCTAAGAATAAAATAGTGTAGTACTGCAATACCATACGGCCTCGGTAGGCTCTAGGTGCAAGGGGCCTCCAAATGAGTTGTTAAATTTCCATAACTTTTTACAGTTGGAATTGTTTTGTCAAAAATCAGGAAGATTGGACGGGATATCCTGTGTTCAATCTTTTACGGTTTTGTGTAATCAAGAGTCCTCTAGGGAAGGAGCCAAACTCATTAAATAGACAGCCCAGACATTGACGCTACACCTGCAGGATGATGAGGAAGAGGCCGAATGTTGCTAACCACTTTGAACCCTGCAGCGTCCCCACTCCCAGTAGATCCTCGACCCCCTTTTCATGTTGGTGAGTTTGAAAAGCTGTCCCTTTAAGACCTGACAGGGCACTCGATTACTCGATTTGGCCAGGATGCCCACTGAGACAATATCCACCAGGTGGGTAAACGCCTCCGCCAAACCATGGGCTACTATGGAACTCGCCCCATTCTCTACTTCTGACCTGTTACACTGGAAAACTCTAGCCCTTCCTAATGTGAGCACCCCCTGAGGATGGTGGGGCTCTTTGCAAGCATCCTTGCTACCCACTCCTCTATTTGGGCTGATGTATAAGTTTTGTTCAATGCAATGTTGACTTCATAGGAAAGCCACCTCGTCTTCAACAAGGCTGATAAGGAATCTAAGATCCTTCACCAGGCCGACCCCCCAACCCACTCCAGATCTGAGAAATGAAACATCAAATCCCAATGATGAGAGACTCTCCAGCAGGACCATTATCATAAGTGCATCCTGCGAGGGCTCCATCTGGGGTTACCTAAACTGAGACACTTAAATAAAATACAACAGTCTGGGTGTGGTGGCTCACAACTGTAATCCCAGCTACTCAGGAGGCAGAGATCAGGAGGATTGCAATTTGAGGCCACCCAGGGCAAAAAGTTAGTAAAGCCTCATCTGACAAACAAGCCAGGCATAGAGACACAGACCTCTAGTGCAGCTGTGCAGAAGGCATAGACAGAAGGCTGGTACTTCAAAGTCAACCCAGGGCAAAAAGCATGAGACCCTGTCTAAAAACTTAAAAAGCACAAAAGCAGGCCGGTGCCTGCAGCTCATGTCTGTAATCCCAGCTACTCAGGAGGCAGAGATCAGGAGTATTGTGGTTCAAAAGCCAAACCCAGTAAAATAGTTTGCGAGACCCTATCTTGAAAAAAACAATCACACAAAAGGGCTGGTGGAGTGGCTCAAGCAGTAAGAGTATCTGCCTAGCAAGTGTGAGGCCATGAGTTCAAGTCCCAATGCTGCCCCAAAAAACACCACAAAATCTAGGGGTGTGACTGTAGTGAATTAGCAATCACAAGGCCCTGAATTTAAACCCCAGTACTGCCAAAGAAAGAAAGAAAGAAAGAAAGAAAAAAAAAAAACCAGTCTAGGGTGGGCTTTTGCCCTTCTCCACATAAGAGTGACTCCTAGAAATGGGCTAGAATTGAACCCCTATGAAATTATATATGG